CCCCCCCCGGGGGCTGGGTTGGGCTTGACGGGTGCGGGTGCGTCCCTCGCCCGGCAGAGCTCCGGGAACGTCTCTCCTGTCCCTCCCTTTTCCCCCCTGAAGACTCTACGAGATGCGTGGCATCGGCCTCCCATCAATGATTGAGGTGTGTATGCCAGAGCCGGGCTGGTATTTCAGGTCAGGTCGCCACGGCTATTTGGGGCAGGCAGCCCCTCATCGCCTCTGCTGCATGTGGGGTCAAACCCTTCTGCCATATGCTTGGGAACTCCAGTCTTGAAGATTGCAGCCAGTGATTGTGTGTAATTATAGGTAAAAGCGATCAAAGGTAAATCTAAATCCATAGTCAGTTGGGGTAATTATGGCTATGCCTCTGGAGCACGAGAGTGTTTGGGAGTCATAAAAAAGGTAAATGTTTACATTTTCTTGCCTAGTTCCTGTATATAAGGTAAACTACTTTGGTCCCCCATGCGTGCACATGTGAGAAGCTGATTCTCTTTTAGTAGAGTTTTTAGTTGAAGGATAAAGGTTACAGTATAGGTGGCAATGTATTGCACTGCATGGAGTAGGATTTTTTTAGACAAATATGTAATCAAGCATGTCATGATCTTAGTATATTACTGGGGCAGTTTCATCATCATCCTCTTCCCATCTACTGGTCAGTTGCCCAGAATAATGATGCAAAAAGTCTGCTGGAGAAACACTCTGGGTACTCTTATGGTTATTAATCATGAGATATAAGTTGATACTTAACTCTGATGATGTTTACAGTTACTGGGGTTTTCCATCTTGGGATCTCAGGGTACTTTGTGTGTATAATGTTTTGTATGTTTTCTTCATGTGGCTACCTAAGGAGTTTAATTTCATTCACCAATTGGTTTTAGAATTTTTGCATTCATAACTTGCACTCGCTATCTCATCTCATGCCCCAGGCATATGCAAGTAACGTCTTGCCATGGTTTGTATTTGGGGGCACCGAGCCGGGTCATTTCTGAATAACAGCAGGTAATCTGTGTATCTATTTAATGACAAGATCATGTCAGTCGCAGAAATTCTTTCAGAAAATGCCCTGTAAATGTAAGTTGCATGTAGAGAAATAGAAGTTTTAAGAAGCTTTCTGTATGCTACATCACTGAACAGCATTGTATGCTTAGTTCATCTGGACATGGCATTTGTGTGCCAGACCCTGGGGGTTTGTCTGCTGCAACGGATCCCAGAACTGCAGACTGGATGTAGTCTGTGAAGTACCTGAAAAAAGCATCATACTCCGCTCTTTTAATGGCTTAATGCATTTGATGAGTTAAAACTACTTCTTAAATTTCCAAGTCATTGAACTAAATCAGATATTTAGAATATAATTGTGGTGTTCTTGTCTCTTTTATGTTCAGTCTCATCAGCAGAGATTGTGAATTATGTTGATGGTAGCTTAGAAATTAGCATGCTCCTTTGCCTTGCAGGGCACCTCAGTAAACAGTTAGGAATGATTGGAAGTAGTGCTGTCTCTCAAAAAAAACCCAGTGCTTTTTTATATAGTAGTGTTTTTCACCTTGACTGCTTTTCAAACATGTAAAATAAATGTATCTACAAGGGTTTTCTTTAGTATTTGCTTGCCAAGACTTTTAATGCAAGGAAGAGGTGTACCTCGTAACTACTGGTCCTTTTCTGAATCATGGACAGGAATTTATGCCGTGTCAGTTGGTTTAGTATTGGTGATTACAAGCAGAACATAATTCTATTTGCCGTTTTTTGCTGAGCATGGAATGTGTCCCATCTCTAGCTTTAATGCGTTGGTGACATCTACAGCTATTTAAGGGGAAGCACAGGAGGTTGAAAGAGATCTCCAAATAGTTTGATGTTAGGTGAAGACATAGTCTTTCCTTTCTGCAGTGAACGAAAGTAGCCGAATTAGGAAAAATTATTGCGCTATATTTCATTTACTTGAGTAGAGTATGTTAGTAGAGGACCTGTTACTGATATTCAGATATTGGTGTCATACATCTTGCTGTTCTAAGATGGTGTGTTGAAGGCCATTGTGAGGCAGACCACTAATGCTTTTTCTTTTTTCTTTTTTAGAAACCAAGTGCTTGAAATGTTTGATCATGCATATAGCAATTATATGGTAAGTAAAATACTTGTTTGTTTAATTTTTTCAGAGTTGTTATTGCTGACCTGGGAGAGAAAGCAACCTACAGTACATGACATTCTAGAG